GCATTCGGTAGCCATTTTCGCCGTGATGATAAGCTAGAGGTCAAATTTTTTTATTTTAATTTAAAGTATACTACCTTAGCATTAATATAAGATATATATATATAAATATTATATAATTATATCAATAATGATATAATTATTGAAGAATCCTAAAATATTAAAGAAAAATGGCAGAATTAAAAGATACAATTACATTGGCTGCAACGAAAACGCTAGGAAATAGTAACAATGCAGCAAGAAAGGAATGGATTACAACGGAAATAGTCAACATGATAGAGGAAAGAAGGAAATACAAGAGTTTGAACAGTATAGATGGACAGGAAAAATACAGAGTACTGAGGAATCTAATCATTAGGAAATCGAGGGAAGCAAAAGAAAAATATTTGGAAGAAATGTGTAATGAAATAGAAACCCTCATAAAGACAGGAAGTAGTGATGAAGCATATAGAATGGTGAAAATGTTTTTTGGTCAACATAAGCCCCGAGGGGGGATTAGAAGATAACAACGGAAGAATGCTATATGAACAAAATGATATAGCGAAAAGATGGAAAGAATATCTAGAAATCCTGTACAAGGGGGAAACACTTAAGGAAAATGAAACCAACGAATCAAATGAAGAGGATAAATCTGAAGAAGATAACGAAATAGACCCAATTATGAGAGAAGAGTTCGACAAAGCTTTGCGGAATCTGAAAAATAAAAAAGCAGCAGGAATCGATGGAATACAAGCGGAGCTTTGGAAGGAGGCGGGAGAAAAAGTTAAAAGGAAATTATTTCAAATTATCAAAGTCATATACAAAACCGGTGAATTGCCTGAAGATTACGTAAAGAGCCTAATTATCCCCATCCCAAAGAAAACAGCAGCAATGAAATGTGAAGAATACCGTACCATTAGTTTGCTATCCCATGCCTCTAAAATACTAACAAAGATTATATTTAAACGAATTGAAGGTAAAATAGAACAATCATTGACAGTAGACCAATTCGGGTTTAGAAGGAATATGGGAACGAGAGAAGCAATATTGGCGTTAAGGATAATCATTCAAAAAAGGATTAGGAAAGACAAACAAACATTTATAGCTTTTGTGGATATCGAAAAAGCATTTGATAACGTAAATTGGAAGGTAATGTTTAACATGATGAAAAGATTGGGGTTAAAATANAGAAAATAATGTTTAACATGATGAAAAGATTGGGGTAAAATACACAGATAGGAAACTTCTGTATAACCTATACAAGGATGAATCCGCAGTTATAAGGATCTAAGAAGAGGAAGAAGAAGTAAAAATAAACAGAGGAGTTAGACAAGGTTGTACATTATCCCCAATTATATTCAACGCATATATTCAAGAAGCAATAGATATGATAAAGGAAAATGCCAATCTAGGGATAAAGATTAACGGACAAAAAATAAGTATGTTACGCTTTGCCGATGACATAGCTTTAATTGCTGAATGCACGAAAGTTCTGGCTCAACTAATTAAAGCTATGGATAAAACATTCGAAAAAGAGTTGGAAATGAGAATAAATGTGAAGAAAACAAAAGTACTGGTATGTGAAAGGGAAAATAATACAAGAATACAGATAAAAATACGAAACCAAGCAATAGAACAAGTAGATGAATTTACATACCTAGGAAGCGCAATCAGCAAGGATGGAAGAAACAGAAGTGAAATTATAAAACGTATCTGTCAAGCTAAAATAGCCTTCAACAAAAAGAAAACTATATTTACATCAAGAAGCATGAGTCTAAAAATAAGAAAAAACCTATTAAAGACGTATGTATGGAGCATTGCTCTGTACGGGTGTGAAACCTGGACAATAGCAATGGAAGAAAAAAAAAGACTTGAGGCGTTTGAAATGTGGTGCTATAGAAGGATGCTAAGGATAAGTTGGATGGACAGAGTAACCAATGTAGAAGTACTGGAAAGAATATCAGATGGAAAGTTACTATGGAATAACATAGTCAGAAGACGCAACGAATGGATAGGTCATATAATGAGACATGAAGGATTGTTGAAATTGATAATAGAAGGAACAGTAGAAGGAAAGAACCGTAGGGGTAGACCAAGATTGGAATTCATTCAACAGACAATAAAGGACCAAGGATGTGACTCATATGTGGAAATGAAAAGGAAGGCGGATAAGAGAGAAGACTGGAAGATGGCTGCAAACCAATCTACGGATTGAAACCATAGAGAGAGACACGTATCAACGATATAACTCTCCCATGTAACTCTGTACAAACATTATCGATTTATTAAATAAACCTTATTTATTTTTGGTGAATTTATTAGTATCCTACCTTGATATTTTCTGCGATACTCGTAAAAAAATAGATGTTGTATTTTTCGTATAAATATAATTGTGTTGACGGCGGATCACTTCTTGCATACTACTTCTCATGAAAAAATTGTATTGATCCATACATTTTTTAAAAAGTTATAGCGCTTTAAGTAAAAAATGTAAATTATAAAATCGAGAATTTTCACAAAAAAATAGCATTCGGTAGCCTTTTTCACCATGAAGACAAGTCCAGAGGTGAATTTTTTTTTTTTCAAATTAAAGTATATTACCTTAGCATTAATATAAGATATATATAAAAGTGCTGACACTTTTAGATCTTCCGGAACATTTTCATAAGTTAAGTTGAAAAAGTTAATTTTTTGTGAAAAAATTGTCATTTTAAATCTCCCCTGTGGGCAGATAAAGGGTCAGATTTACAATAATTATACCAAATGATAAGTAAAGACATAAAGCATCTATATAAAAAAAATTATATTGATATGTTCATTTTTGAAAAAGTTAGAGCATTATTAATTTAAAAAAAAAAAAAAAATTATATTACAAAAATTGTAATTTTTTATTAACTTTGATGTCTACTTTCACGACAAAGACAAGTCCAGAGGTCAAATTTTTTTTTTTTTAATTTAACTATATTACATAAGCTTTAATATAAGATATATATATAAGTTTCAGATTTTCCGGAACACTTTCAAAAGTTAAGTTGAAAAAGTTCTACTTTATATATGCATTTTTTATATTTGAA